GATCACTTGGCCGGCGCACAGAAATGGCCCGGTGGGCGCCATGGCGCCCGCAGGCACCGCATCGGGGACCACTGCTCCGGGGCATTTGGCATTGGAAGACAGGACACTAGGCTAGATGGACCTTTGGTCTGACCCCGTCTGAATTTCTGCATGACAGGAGTGCCCGGACAGCCCAGCCATGCCCTGGCCCCCCACCCTTGCTGTCCCCGCCAGCTCTCCCCCCCGGAACCTGCTATAGGGTGCTATGTAAGGAGGCCTTGCTCGGCAGCCATGTTGGAAGGCCTAAAGTCTACGGCCAACAAAACAGGAAGTCGCGTCCTCTCATTCCAGCGACACAGCCTTACACTAGCCTCATCCCGGGCTGCCCAGAAGCCCACAAGCACGTGAGAAGAGACGAGGCGACCCCATCCGGACACGCCTGCCCGCAGGGCGCACGCCGTGGGAGTCCCATGGGCTGAGACAGAGTCACTAAGATAGTCTCTCAGGGTACGTCTAGACTACAGGCTTCTGTCGACAAAGAGCGTCTAGACGACAGCCAGTTCTGTCGACACAGCAAGCCGCCTTGTCGACAGGACAGCGTAGACGCAAAGGATGGTGTCGATGCGATGACGCCTTCTGGGTCTCCTCACCTCAAAACAGATATTTTGGCCTTGGAAAGGGTTCAGAAAAGGGCAACTAAAATGATCAGGGGTTTGGAACAGGTCCCATATGAGGAGAGGTTAAAGCGACTGGGACTTTTCAGTTTGGAAAAGAGGAGACTGAGGGGGGATAGGATAGAGGTCTATAAAGTCATGAGTGGTGTGGAGAGGGCGGATAAAGAAAAGTTATTTATTAGTTCCCACAATAGAAGAACTAGAGGGCACCAAATGAAGTGAATGGGGAGCAGGTTTAAAACTAATAAAAGAAAGTTCTTCTTCACACAGCGTGTAGTCAACCTGTGGAACTCCTTGCCAGAGGAGGCTGTGAAGGCTAGGACTATAATTGAGTTTAAAGAGAAGCTAGATAATTTCATGGAGGTTAGGTCCATTAAAGGCTATTATACCTCCCAGCCTGCTCCGAGCCCCAGCGGCTGGGTGCAGACTTGGCACCAGGGCAGGACCAGCAGTGAGCTTACCTTCCGGGTCCAGCAGCTTGGTCAGGCCCAGCTGCTGCTCGGCCGTGTTGAAGGCCTGCTGCAGGTTGTAGGTGGCGTTGGACTTGGTGAGTTTGCTGAAGTCGACGATCTCTGGCCTGGGAATACAACACAAGAGCATCTGGCGGGCGTTCAGGGAGATGCACAGGGCAGCAGGACGGGCCTGTGGCATAGAGCTATTAGCCCTGCCTCTCTGACCACTAGACCACACTCCCTGGCCAAAGCGGAGATGGATCCCAGGAGCCCGGGCTGCCAGCCTCCTGCTCTAACCAGTACACCCCACTCCCCTCCCAGAACTCTCCATTCTGTGGCCCTGCTGTACTGCGGACAATCTGACCCCGCTGATGCCTTGGAAACTACCCAAAAGACCCTATAGCCCCCACCCCTCGGGAAGAGGCAGCCCCCACACACCTGTGCCGGTGGATCAGGGCATTGAAGGCCAGCCCATCTCTCCAGCTGGTGGTGAAGTTGTGAATGCTCACCTCCGGGTACCTGGGGGGGTCCGAAAGAAGGGCAGGGAAAG